CACACGAACTTGAAGGATACACTCAAAAGCTGATCGTAATCGACTCATTCGTTTCTACATGTTACCCTAGCCTAGGCATGAGAAAACAGCCAATCGCTGATAATGTGAGATTGTGTGCGGCGTGCACCACCTCCATTCAAGACCGTTTGCCTTGCCCAACGAGATATAGAACCTTGTTTGTGGAAATGTAGTGCGATATGATTGATGTGGGTGAACTTTCTACCTGTACTTGGGCCAGAAGCTTGTACCCCAGATTTTCTCCGCAGTCTGATACCATTGTTTGTTGTGACAACTCATGGTCCAGTGAGTTGGCTAGTGGCGTGGCAATTAGCAGCAAAGTTCGCCACAAGCAATGTGCATTCAGTCATATGAATATGCATGACGGCTGGCACTTCTGTGAATCCCGTGAAACTGCCTGGAACCATTTTGATTTTCTTGGTAATAGAACAGAAATTGCTACCTTGCTTGCTTGTGTCAATCACTTATTGGAACACAAACAGATTGAGTGGCACATTTCCTCAGTCAAATGACAACCTTGAAAACCTTTGTACTTTTCAGATTGCATAGTTTATTTAGATTGACCTCGACCCTGCTGGTTCATTTTCTACGCGAATGAGCCTCACCTGGATTCGGGGCAAGATGGAGAGTCTTGGTTATAGCAAAAACCATGCCAGTTAACCCTAAATCTGCTGCCTCCGGAAAATTGTTCCGGTGAAAGATATGCTATGCTTGGGCATCTCTTGACTTCAACTCGTTATTTAGCAACAATTTACGTCGACTAGATGAGCATGTTATTATTGCATCACTCATAAACCTTGAATGGATTATGCCTTCTACACTTCCAATAGACTTTGATTTCCACGCTCAAAAGTTCACTTAAACTCCCTTCACTCGAGTTAAACACCCCACCTCTTTCAAGTCAGTCTGAGTCCCAAGTTTGGCAGGGTAATCGTTGAATCATTGTACCTGGACCGTTCATGAAGCTCACATAGCAAACTACGTTTTCACCTGAAATCGCCACCCATCGCATTTGGTCAACCGTGTATGCCCTCTTGTTCGTTCATTAACGCGTGGAGGAGGTATCTTGTCTGATTAAACCCACTCGCTTATGGATGCACGCACACTACTCTACTCCAACATTCCCATCCATTGCCAGGGGCCTTCGCAACAATGGCTTCACCGGATCCATTCCATCCACCATTGGAGGGTTGAGCAGCCTGACAGGATTGTAAGATTGTGATGAGCACCGCACGTATTACATGTGCTGCTTTCGTTTTCAGATCTCGTGCCAGACGTGGTACTCAGGACTAGTCTGATGTTGAGTTCTTGGCTCGCAAGTAGTTCACTCAATATTTGCGAGTGGTTTTGGGGGGTTGGGGGAAGATGTTAGTTTGGGTGATTATTTTCAGTTTTGCCATTGCGCTACATACATACACTTGTCATGTTCAAATCTGACACCAACAAATGCGAGGCATGCAGCTTGGAAATTAAAAAAGGATAACCCACATGCATCTTTCTTCCTTTTCTCAACATACATTCCCCTGGTTGCTCGTCCCTTGCCCGCATGCCTTTCTTCAATCAGACTCTTGAACGACAACAGCCTGAGTGACACAATTCCTGACTCCATCGCCATGCTGTCAAACCTGATTCGACTGTCAGTAGTGCTCATTCTTGGATTTACATTTGAGCTACAGCCAGGTTCCACATGCCCTTTCTTTTTTCTGCATCTATCGAATTCATCTCGTATTTAAAGCACCCATATGTGAGAGCCATATGCTTTCCTTTCTTCAGTTCCTTCCAGGCTTCAGCCAGTAGTTGGAAGGTGATCATTATCATACACATGCATAACGAGTGCTTATGGAATTACATCCACACAACGCATTTGTTTTGTAACTAAATAGCGTTCTTGAGGTGTGCTTCCATCCAATGTAACGAGCAACAAACCGAACTTCAGGCAATCTGTTAGTTGAACCAAGCTTTTTCATTTTTTTGTTATCAATTTAGTTCGACCAGAACCTGTGCTGGTTTGGGTCGAACCGTTCGGGCCCGGCCGCCAATCCCATATGGTTATCGATTCAAATCAACTAGGTGTGTCGGGCCGCCTCTTGTCAAATCTAGACCCAGAACTGCTTCTTTGCCCATTGGTCGAACCACATCGCTGGAGCTTTGGCCCGAACCCTCGAACAATGCGTTTTGGTTGGACCCAGACGCATCTCGATTCAACCCGAACGCATTTTGTTCTGGCCCGGGCCCAACCAGTTCGGGTCCGGTTTTGTTCATGTCTAGTCGTGGGTATTGGGATTTGTTTCCTTCGCATCATCTAAATTCAAACTCCACTTTAGGCAATTACTTGTAGCATGAACTTCTCAAACCTCCACATCAAGTAGGCTCTGTTTAAGCCTCTCTCCAAATGGCAAGTATGTAGATTTGAACCATTGCGTACAATGTGCTCATGATCACCACCTACCGGTGTCTTTAGTCAGACACGCAGCTCATGAAGAGTGTCAAGCTTGAGGGGTCAAAGCGTCGAGCATGCATGCGTCAGTGAAAATGTGACACAATGCACAAGCCATGCTTCAATCCAAATACACTTAAAATCTCGAAGCCCACTATGACCTATTATTTGGAATCTTTCCCAGACTTGAGTTGGAAAATGGGGCTCACTTACGGACAACACGCTATCTTACGCTCCCGCTTGTTTCTGCAAATCAGCCACCAATCCCTTCTTGTAATCCTAAATTTTCTCACAAATGCAATAATTTTTCTTCAACACCACAGTCTGCCTCGCTACTGTGAAATTTTCTCTCACCCTCGTGACTCCGTCTATCCATATGGTTGTTATGTTTGCTAATCAACCCCAACCAATTGCCGTGTGATTCTTTGTTCCCATTGTGAATGTCATCGTGAATGTCATCGTGAATGTCATCGTGAATGTCATCGTGAATGTCATCGTGGATGCCATTGGGAATGCCATCGGGAATGCAGGGACCTGTCGTCAAACTCACTGTCTGGCTCCATGCCAGATTCTTTTACACGCCTCACCAACTTGGCAGATTTGTATGTTCTTTTATGCTCTTCAAGAATTGCCCATCACTCCTTGGCTCCTTGAGTAATCATAAACACCTTGTGTTTGTTTCTCCATTGATGTCATGACAGTTCTCCATTTATCGTCTCACACTTTGTGCTTGTTTATTATCTCCAATAATCCTGCTGATGTTCATGGCCTTTGATCTCCCGTCATCAGAAACCTTGCCAGCAACAGCCTGGCAGGCAGCATCCCGCCGTCCATTGGCAGCCTCACCCAGCTTTCTACCTTGTGAGCGCGCTTCTCTTGTGAATGGCAGCGCTTCTCTTGTGAATGGCAGCGCTTCTCTTGCGAATGGCAGCGCTTCTCTTGTGAATGGCAGCTCTTGACCCACCAGTCCAATGCACCCAGCCGGTTGGTGTTTCTAGGACGGCGGGCATGAGAGAATTGCAACCCATCGTGTTCTATGATGTGTGCGCCTGTAGCCCGACCAGAGGAGTCAATCTTCTGTAAGACCAAGTTGGAGCTGATGAATCCCTTGCCTGCATGTTGTCTTCCCTCGAGTTTGCACATACAGGAATGTGAGTGGAACTGGCCTGACCTGCCCGGACGACTACACCCCATGCGTGGCGCAGCAGCAGCCTCAGAGCGCCTTTTGCCTCCAGTGTGCCTCCTTCTGCGCCACCTGCGGCAAGCCGGCACCTCGTAAGCCATAACGAGTTCCTCCCCCATCCCCCTTCCATGCTTTGTGTCACATGAGCTTTTCTCACATCACATGTGCCTTTCTCTTTCAAGTCTTCCCATTCAACTGCAGTGTGCGTGTCCATTCCACTCCCCTGAACCCCCATCTCCATGCATGAGCCAGCATGCCAGTGGCAAGCAGTAGTAGCACTGCTGCTCGTCTAACACTTCAATATCTGATTTAGGTTTGACACTAATCATGTGCTACTCAGATATCAAGCTCTTCTCCTCAGCACAGCGATTTCTGTCCGTCCCACACCCTGATTGCAATCACACGTGTGCCCCAAGTTGTCCCCTCGCATACTACTTCTCCATGTCCCCTCTCTTCCTGCCTCCAGCGCCCCAATCGCCTGGGAGTACCACAGGGTCCCCATCTCCCCCCACGGCCTCCCCAGCAACCCCCCCTTCACCTGCAAAGTACACCTCCCGGTCTGCTGGCCTCACAGCAGCAGCCATTGTTGGCACTGCCATGGCTTCCCTGCTGCTGCTCATCTGAACGTCTGGTTGAAGCTCTCCTTGTGGAGGGAGAACTGAAGGAGCCTGCTGAAGTAGATGAATTATTTAGACTTGGTTGTGTGGTTGACAGACAATGCATGCCTTGATAGTTATACGGTAGTGTTGGATGACCCAGTAGCATGACCGTGGTGATGGTGCCAAGGATGTGGAGCTTGATTGTTGCCATCAAAGTGTTTGTGGTAATGCGTATGTCCAATGGATCGACGTCAAACCATAGCAGAGTGAAATTGTAGGTTCAGAACTGGTTTAGCTGTGAGTGAAGGCAGCAGCAGTGGCGAGCAGGATGCATGAAGCTGTGCATCAGGTAACTGGCATGACTTGAGGACATATATGATGGGCGATTGGCATCCCCGATATGGACCACAGAGCTCTAGCTTCATGACCATTGTCTGATTGATGGCAGTTGGTTACGGTAGTGGATGTTTATTCGAGAACTACGGCTTGGTTCGGTACCGTACTGTGCGCTCATCTCCTCTTACCGGTAACTTTTGATCTGAAATTGTGATCATGGTTGCTGAAAGTATTAGTTAAGGTAGGCTAATAATCAACAACCAAATATAAGCGCATTAGTCCAGACCAGATGTAAGCACGTGGGCGTAACATCGGCCTGGTCTTACATCCAGGGGATGACAGTACCACAGGCTTCCTTAGGGTCACATGCAAAAGATAACTGTAAGCGCAACAGTACAGTATATCAACAACGTGCCTTATGCACCACTTAGGTCTTGGAAAGATCCCAACCCACATAGATGAACTGTGGGATAAGTTGGTGCACCTTCCAGGCAGCAACTGCCAGAGCTGCTGACATCAGCAACAGGACAAGAGGAAACACAATAGAGGCGGAAGGAAACACAAGGGGGGCAGCAACAGCAGCAGCGGTGGCGAGCAGGGAGAGTGTGGGCAGCAGCAGGTGTGCGCGCTGCAGGGTGGCGAGGGCAGAGGAGCAGGAGGTGCAGTGCGCCGTGTGGGAGGCCATGCGGTCCAACACCTGCTCCTTGGGGAGTGGCTCTGGGCGCATGGAGTAGCCCGGGGGGGAAGTTACAGCGCCGTCTGTTGGGGGGATGGGGAGAAGGCGGAGACATGCTTAGAATGCTTTTGAGGCGGAGACATGCTTAGAATGCTTTTGAGGCGGAGACATGCTTAGAATGCTTTTGAGGCGGAGACATGCTTAGAATGCTTTTGAGTCGACTCAAAAGAAGGCGGAGACATGCTTAGGCTTAGGCTTAGGGTGTGCCTGCTGTGTTTGAGTCGACTCAAAGGCATGCTTAGGGTGTGCCTGCTGTGTGCATGCTTAGGGTGTGCCTGCTGTGTGCAGGCTTAGGGTGTGCCTGCTGTGTGCTGACGGTGTACCTGCTGTGTGCTTAGGGTGTGCCTGCTGTGTGGTTAGGGTGTGCCTGCTGTGTGCTTAGGGTGTGCCTGCTGTGTGCATGCTTAGGGTGTGCCTGCTGTGTGCTTAGGGTGTGCCTGCTGTGTACATGCTTAGGGTGTGCCTGCTGTGTGCTGACGGTGTGCGTGAAGAGATGGTTTCGGCCAACAGAGAAGAAGTGAAGAATGGGCGGAGTTTGAAGGGTAGAGCACACTCTATCTTGTCATGGAGGGTGCATGGCAGCACGGCAAACGCACATCCATCACAAGCCATGTGCACACCCACCCTGCCTGCATGCATGCCCATCCATGGCATGAGCATACCAGCATAAGTGCCCATACATGGCATGAGCATACCAGCATAAGAGCCCATCCATGGCATGAGCATACCAGCATAAGAGCCCATCCATGGCATGAGCATACCAGCATAAGAGCCCATCCATGGCATGAGCATACCAGCATAAGAGCCCATCCATGGCATGAGCATACCAGCATAAGTGCCCATCCATGGCATGAGCATACCAGCATAAGTGCCCATCCATGGCATGAGCATACCAGCATAAGTGCCCATCCATGGCATGAGCATACCAGCATAAGTGCCCATCCATGGCATGAGCATACCAGCATAAGAGCCCATCCATGGCATGAGCATACCTGCAGAAGTGCCCATCCATGGCATGAGCATACCAGCATAAGAGCCCATCCACTGGCGGAAGGCCACGACGAAGAGGTCAGCCGGGGCGGGCAGGAAGTACTCCGACTGCCAGAAGCGCCCGCCCGCCCTCCTTGCCGCCCGCTCCGCCTCCGCCTGCTCCTGCTCCGCCATTCCGCCTGGTCCTGCCCTGGCCGTGGCAGCAGCATGATGACGGCCGGCAATGGAGTCGATCTTGTGGCTCAGGAGGATGTCCTGGCAGTGCAGAAAGTAGTGGTCGCCTGGTGGGCACGAGGACGAGGGATGGGCGAGGTGGAGGGATGGGCGAGGTGGAGGGCAATGGAAAGAAGTGGCGGTCAAGGTTCAACGAGGGGAATGTACTGTAGGAAAACTGCTCATTGCAAGCAGCAGCAGCATCGATACGGCAGCATGAATAAGCAGAATGTCAGCACACAACAGTGAGTAATATCCTCGAAACAGGAAAGGTATGCATAGCATCTATGTTCAGACGAGCATGACTGCATGTGTGTGCTGGCACCAGTCATGAGAGACAGGAGCTAGGGCATGAGAGGAAAGCAGCGAGAGAGGCCATCATACTGTCAAAGAGAGCGTGAGTGAAGAGGTGCGCACGCCACCTCTGCGATGCAAACTGCTCCCCCCACTGCGTCTTCCTTCTTGCTGCTGCCTCCTTGTTACCCTTCTCCACGCCCTCTGCCTCCTTGTTACCCTTCTCCACGCCCTCTGCCTCCTTGTTACCCTTCTCCACGCCCTCTGCCTCCTTGTTACCCTTCTCCACGCCCTTGTTTTTGCCCTGCAGGGAGACCATGAGGCACTCCCCCGGGCGCATGGGCGTCATGTAGAGGCAGGCGATTGCCGTTGTAGGCGCCGGGGGAGCTTCTCCCGCCGCCGCCGCTGCCGCTGTTGCCGCCGGCGGTGGAGGGAGGGTGCTGCAGGGAGTGACGACTGGGGTTAGAGGAATCTGCAGTTGCTCAGTTCAGTGGCAAGATGACGAGGCAGTGACATGGTGGCGAGGAAATGTAACGGTGGACGCAGTGATTCAATGGCATACTGGCAGCAGGACCAGCAGCAGGACCAGCAACAGCAACAGCAGCAGCAGGAGGCAGTGGCATGGCTACGAGGCAGTGACATGGCTACGAGGCAGTGACATGGCTACGAGGCAGTGACATGGCTACGAGGCAGTGACATGGCTACGAGGCAGTGACATGGCTACGAGGCAGTGACATGGCTACGAGGCAGTGACATGGCTACGAGGCAGTGACGTGGCTACGAGGCAGTGACATGGCTACGAGGCAGTGACGTGGCTACGAGGCAGTGACGTGGTCACGAGGCAGTGTAATGGTGGACCGAGTGAGGCGGCACGACATGCACATGCCGACTTGAACATGTGATTCAACGTCACCCACGCCGTGGGTCCCACGGACGACTGTGGCATACCGGTTGTAGCAGACGAACGAGGGGGCGCTGAATATGAAGGTGGCAGGCAAGAGAGCATCGTGAAAGGTGCCTTGGAAGCCGTCCTTGGTCTGACAGCACGTGGGGAGGGAATGTGGAGAGGGTGGGGATCGAATGACACTGAACATGAACACTGATGGTGGATCAACTCTCACAAGGAGGCTATTTCAAAGGACAGACAATACTGCAAAGGCACACACACACACACACACACACACACACACACACACACACACACACACACACACACACACACACACACACACACACACACACACACACACTCTAGCGCTCCTCATCACATCAGTATGGAATGAAGTGGTAAGGCATGGCAGGGAGCTGCAGGGAGACGCATCGCCCGCTCATCTCACCACGCGTCGCACGCTCATCTCAACACGCGTCGCATGCTCGTCTCACCACGCGCAACACGCTCGCCTCACCACGCGTCGCACGCTCGTCTCACCACGCGTCCCCCACTCGTCCCACCACTCGTGGCACGCTCGTCTCACCACGCGTCGCACGCTCATCTCACCACGCGTCGCACGCTTGTCTCACCACACGTCGCACGCTCGTCTCACCACACGTCGCACGCTCATCTCACCACGCGTCGCACGCTCATCCCACCACTCGTGGCACGCTCGTCTCACCACGCGTCGCACGCTCATCTCACCACACGTTACACGCTCGTCTCACCACACGTCGCACGCTCGTCTCACCACGCGTCGCACGCTCGTCTCACCACGCGTCGCACGCTCGTCTCACCACGCGTCGCACGCTCGTCTCACCACGCGTCGCACGCTCGTCTCACCACGCGTCGCACGCTCGTCTCACCACACGTCGCACGCTCATCTCACCACGCGTCCCCCATTCGTTCCACCACGCGTCGCACGCTCGTCTCACCACTCGCAGCACGCTCGTCTCACCACGAGTCTCACGCTCGTCTCACCACGCGTCCCCCACTCATCCCACCACGCGTCGCACGCTCGTCTCACCACACGTCGCACGCTCGTCTCACCATGCGTCGCACGCTCGTCTCACCACGCGTCGCACGCTCGTCTCACCATGCGTCGCACGCTCGTCTCACCACGCGTCGCACGCTCGTCTCACCACGCGTCGCACGCTCGTCTCATCACGCGTCGCACGCTTGTCTTACCACACGTCACACGCTCGTCTCAACACACGTCGCACGCTCGTCTCAACACACGTCGCACGCTCGTCTCACCACGCGTCGCACGCTCGTCTCACCACGCGTCGCACGCTCGTCTCACCACGCGTCGCACGCTCGTCTCACCACGAGTCGCACGCTCGTCTCACCACGCGTCCCCCACTCGTCCCACCACGCGTCGCACGCTCGTCTCACCACACGTCGCACGCTCATCTCACCACGCGTCCCCCATTCGTTCCACCACGCGTCGCACGCTCGTCTCACCACTCGCAGCACGCTCATCTCACCACGAGTCTCACGCTCGTCTCACCACGCGTCCCCCACTCATCCCACCACGCGTCGCACGCTCGTCTCACCACACGTCGCACGCTCATCTCACCACGCGTCGCACGCTCGTCTCACCACGCGTCGCACGCTCGTCTCACCACGCGTCGCACGCTCGTCTCACCACGCGTCCCCCACTCGTCCCACCACGCGTCGCACGCTCGTCTCACCGCACGTCGCACGCTCATCTCACCACGCGTCCCCCATTCGTTCCACCACGCGTCGCACGCTCGTCTCACCACTCGCAGCACGCTCGTCTCACCACGAGTCGCACGCTCGTCTCACCACGCGTCCCCCACTCATCCCACCACGCGTCGCACGCTCGTCTCACCACACGTCGCACGCTCGTCTCACCACGCGTCGCACGCTCGTCTCACCACGCGTCGCACGCTCGTCTCACCACGCGTCGCACGCTCGTCTCACCACACGTCCCCCACTCGTCCCACCATGCGTCGCACGCTCGTCTCACCACACGTCGCACGCTCATCTCACCACGCGTCCCCCATTCATTCCACCACGCGTCGCACGCTCGTCTCACCACTCGCAGCACGCTCGTCTCACCACAAGTCGCACGCTCGTCTCACCACGCGTCCCCCACTCATCCCACCACGCGTCGCACGCTCGTCTCACCACACGTCGCACGCTCGTCTCACCACGCGCAGCACGCTCGCCTCACCACGCGTCGCACGCTCGTCTCACCACGCGTCCCCCACTCGTCCCACCACTCGTGGCACGCTCGTCTCACCACGCGTCGCACGCTCATCTCACCACGCGTCGCACGCTTGTCTCACCACACGTCGCACGCTCGTCTCACCACACGTCGCACGCTCGTCGCGTCGCACGCTCGTCTCACCACGCGTCGCACGCTCGTCTCACCACGCGTCGCACGCTCGTCTCACCACGCATCCCCCACTCGTCCCACCACGCGTCGCACGCTCGTCCCACCACGCGTCCCGCACTCGTCTCACCACGCGTCCCCCACTCGTCCCACCACGCGTCGCACGCTCATCTCACCACCTATGTTGCAAAATACGCGTTTCACGTACCAGTCGCGTACGTACTGTACGCTCACGTACGTACGTGATACGGGCGATTTCAGCCCCACGATACGCTCGAAATACGGTCGCCCGGGCAGGCGAAAAAAAGTTCCGGGCAGGGAAAAAAAGTATGGGGGGGTGAGTCACGCTGCCTATGTTCATTTTGACCTTGTGCAGTTGGTTTTTTGAAATGCTGTCGGGACGGATGGGAACCTTGAAATGCTTGAAGACGACATGCGTACTATCCTCCTCCAGCCATTGCGCCTCCGAAGTCGAGGCAGAAGGATCGGTATGCTGAGTAGACGGACCAGAAGGCTGAGTGTGGTTAGAAGGGACTGGAGTAGACATAGCTCAACACTGAACTGAACAGGAATGAGAGATGTGTTGTGGTGGGGTCAATTATACCTACCACGAATTGGTTGTGGGGTGGGGGACGTGCTCTGGTTGGTCACGAGTTGTTGGGGGTGATTGGGCATTGTTGAGTTTCGTGGGGTGAACGTGGCGATTCGGTTTTGCACGTCCACAGGTTGGAAAAACGCGACCCGAAATGTCGGAATACGTGCGTACGGAAAAAGCGCGAACTTTATTTTTTTTGGGGATTTTTTTTTGCCCTGCCCGAATTCACGTATCGCGTATTTGTCCCCGTTTCACGTTTGCCCGTTTATACGTGAACGCATATACGCGATACGTTAAATTTCAAAAGCGTATAGTGCAACATAGCTCACCACGCGTCCCCCACTCGTCTCACCACGCGTCGCACGCTCGTCTCACCACGCGTCCCCCACTCGTCCCACCACGCGTCGCACGCTCGTCTCACCACGCGTCGCACGCTCGCCTCACCACGCGTCGCACGCTCGTCTCACCACGCGTCGCACGCTCGTCTCACCACGCGTCGCACGCTCGTCTCACCACGCGTCCCCCACTCGTCCCACCACGCGTCGCACGCTCGTCTCACCACACGTCGCACAATCATGTCACCACGCGTCCCCCATTCGTTCCACCACGCGTCGCACGCTCGTCTCACCACTCGCAGCACGCTCGTCTCACCACTCGCAGCACGCTCGTCTCACCACTCGCAGCACGCTCGTCTCACCACGAGTCGCACGCTCGTCTCACCACGCGTCCCCCACTCATCCCACCACGCGTCGCACGCTCGTCTCACCACACGTCGCACGCTCGTCTCACCACGCGTCCCCCACTCGTCTCGCCACGCGTCGCACGCTCGTCCCACCACGCGTCACACGCTCGTCTCACCACGCGTCGCACGCTCGTCTCACCACGCGTCCCCCACTCGTCCCACCACGCGTCCCCCACTCGTCCCACCACGCGTCGCACGCTCGTCTCACCACGCGTCGCACGCTCGTCTCACCACGCGTCGCACGCTCGTCTCACCACGCGTCCCCACTCGTCCCACCACGCGTCGCACGCTCGTCTCACCACACGTCGCACGCTCATCTCACCACGTGTCCCCCATTCGTTCCACCACGCGTCGCCCGCTCGTCTCACCACTCGCAGCACGCTCGTCTCACCACGCGTCGCACGCTCGTCTCACCACGCGTCCCCCACTCGTCTCACCACGCGTCGCACGCTCGTCTAACCACGCGTCCCCCACTCGTCTCACCACGCGTCGCACGCTCGTCTATCCACGCGTCCCCCACTCGTCTCACCACGCGTCTCACGCTCGTCTCACCACGCGTCCCCCACTCGTCTCACCACGCGCAGCACGCTCGTCTCACCACGCGTCCCCCACTCGTCTCACCACGCGCAGCACGCTCGTCTCACCACGCGTCCACGTGTCCCCCATTCGTTCCACCACGCGTCGCCCGCTCGTCTCACCACTCGCAGCACGCTCGTCTCACCACGCGTCGCACGCTCGTCTCACCACGCGTCCCCCACTCGTCTCACCACGCGTCGCACGCTCGTCTAACCACGCGTCCCCCACTCGTCTCACCACGCGTCGCACGCTCGTCTATCCACGCGTCCCCCACTCGTCTCACCACGCGTCTCACGCTCGTCTCACCACGCGTCCCCCACTCGTCTCACCACGCGCAGCACGCTCGTCTCACCACGCGTCCCCCACTCGTCTCACCACGCGCAGCACGCTCGTCTCACCACGCGTCCCCCACTCGTCTCACCACGCGCAGCACGCTCGTCTCACCACGCGTCCCCCACTCGTCTCACCACGCGCAGCACGCTCGTCTCACCAGAGAGTGCAGGCTGATCTCGTTCATGGGAGCGCCCTGGTGGCGGTGCAGCGGGCCGAAGCCGTGGTGGGCGAAGAAGATGTGCGCGGGGTCGGCAAAGTTCTCCGCCAGCACCTCGTAGCTGTAGCTCACGCGCCGCGCGTGCACCATCATGTCACACGCATCCCACTCCACGCCCTCGGGCTCGGGGATGGCTGTGCGCTCCGCCTGCTCTGCAGAGGCGCTGTCGGGCCACACGAAGAGAATGCCCTGCCATGGGGAAGGATGTGGGGGGAGCGGGGAAGGATGTGGAGGGAGCGGAGAAGGAGCGAGCGACTGAGGGGGTGAAGTTGGTGAAGACTGCAGGGCGCGCGGCCGGGGCGCACGGTCTGCATACAGCATGCTGTCAGACGAGAGCAAACTCGGCTTCATAGACAGGAGATTTCCTGCCGTAGCAGGGAGAGAAGCCGTGTGGGCGCGTGTGGAGCGTTTGACGCCGTGCCCGAAACAAATGCGGGAGGGAAGCAGGCAAGCAAGACGGGACGGCAAGATAGACTCGTAAAGACGGAGAGGCAGGCAGGTGGATCGTTTCTGAGAAAGGGCAACAGAGCATGCAGCAGAGCAGATGCACAAGGGTGCGGAAAGGAAAGGTGAAAACACGCACAGGCGCGTGGCAAGCACGCACAGGCGCGTGGCAAGCAAGCACGCGCTCTCACATGGAGCTCCCTGGTGGGGAAGGCGGTGGCGCAGGCGCGGGGGGAGGCGAGCGCGCGGGGCGGGTGGGGCGGGTTGTCTTGAGGCGCCTGGGGGGTGAGCTGGCACGCACCACTGCCTGCAAACGCCCACCCGTGGTATGAGCACGCCAGCCTGCCCTCTGAGTCTATGCGGCCCTGGTGGGGGGAGAAGGGGAGTGGGGGGGGATAAGAAGAAGGGCGGACGAAATGAGAGAGGCAGGCACAACACGGCAGGGTTTACACGAGGCTGTGCTGCACTGGGGGTTAGACAGGGGGCAGGAAACGAGAAATAAGGTGGGGCCGACGAGTGGGAACATGCGTGCCAGGTGGGGCGGATGAGTGCTTGGGAGAAGGGAGATGAGGGGAGAAGGGAGATGAGGGGAGAGATGATAGCGTGGCGTGGGTGGCAACTGGCCGACTTGTGTCGGGCAGGCAGAGGGCACGCAGAGCGGTGCGCGGCGCGGATGGAGGTAAGGAGCTGACATGATGAGGACCGATGTGGTGGTTACCTCAGAGAGGGGGACTAAGCGGTGGGGGCACTGGTCGAGGAAGCAGCGCCACGAGCCCGTGGCATCGCGGCAGAGCACGAGGGGGCGGCCCAGCACTGTGAGCGCGTGCGGGCGACTGGCATCCATGTCTTCGATCACGCCCACCGCGTACCACGCCCTGCTCCAGTCAAACCGCTCCTTCTCCGCGTGCCTAAGCTCCACCCCCTCTGCTGCTTCCTCGCCAGGGCTTGCCGTGCCCGCCTCTCCTGCTTCCTCCCCTTCTGCCTTCCCTGCTGCCTGCTCCTGCCCCACCTCGCCTGCTGTTGGCAGCTCGCTGCCTAGGGAAGGCGGAACGGCAGCATGAGCAGTGGCCGATGCTGCAGGTGAGGGTGTGGGAGCAGCAGCAGCAGCAGCAGCAGCAGCAGCAGCAGCAGCAGCAGCAGCAGCAGCAGCAGCAGCAGCAGCAGCAGCAGCAGCAGCAGCAGCAGCAGCAGCAGCAGCAGCGGCTACAGAGTCAGCAGGGGAAGCAGCGGGAGCTGTGATGTCCACGTGAGACGGCACGGGTTGGGGAGGGGGGCGGCAGCAAGTGGCATTTTTGAGGCGCCTCAAAAGGGGGCGGCAGCAAGTGGCATCGGAGCAGCAGCAAGTGCAGGCGAGGCTCGCTCATCATCATCCGCCCATCCATCAATCCCAGCAGCGGCAGAGCTGCTGGCCTGACAGCGCACACGCGCACGCGCACTGCTGCACGCCGTCCGCCCTCCGCGCGCCACCACCCCGCTTGCGCGCTGCGCGCCAGGGAGGCTCAGTGCTGCGCAACCTCGCAGGCCAGCGCGCGCCAGCCGCTGCTGCTGTGGCACCGCCTGTGCACGGCAGGGCGGTGCGCGGTAGGGCGGTGCGCGGTAGGTCGGTGCGCGGTTGGGCGGTGCGAGGTAGAGCGGTGCACGGGGAGAGGCATGGCAGACGGAGGCCGCAGTGAGGTTGCTCATGGCGGCGCAAGAGGGAAACGCACACACGCTCATGCCGCCGAGCGCCGCCGCCGACTGCTGCTGCTGCTGCGGCCGCCGACTGCTGCTGCTGCACGTGCTGCGGCCGAGTGCTTGCCCCACGGCGAGGCGTAAGCCAAGACTCGTGCGCTCTCGCGCGGCACTGCGAAATCGATATGGGGGCGAGCTGATAGTACTATCTGTGAAGCGATACGTGAAGCTGCACGATTCCCAGCGATGGTGCGAGCAGACTGACGATTACGGGCCGTCGGACGGCCCGCTATTTCTAGGGGGCCGTCCACCAGCAGTGGCCGCGGTGGTGACGGACCGCCGTTAGTGGATGACACCTCGTAGTAGCCGCGCGGCGCGCCACCTCGTAGTAGCCGCGCGGCGCGCCACCTCGTAGTAGCCGCGTGGCGCGCGCAGTCGACAAGACCGACGGGCGGCAAGCGGCCAGCCCGCCGCGACGGATTCATCGGGGGTTGCCTGCGATAGGCTCGGCCGGGTGTTCGGATGGTTCGTGGTTCGATCGTGATGCATTTCGCTTTCTCGAGGCAAACGGAACGAGGCCGGCGAGGCGAGCTGCACGACGCATGATACGTCGCGCCTTGGCCGGCGTTGAAAGTCGAGGCGAAACTCGCGGCGCTATATATACACTCGAGAGGCAGTCGCGACATTGGACCCTGAAAAAACCTCGACTCTACGCGGGTGTGTTCCAAGTCGTCTGCAGCTTCTCGAACTACCCTGCACCAACAACTGCTCCGTTATTGGCATGGTTGTAAACAGCAAAATCGTTACTTTGAGACATTGACATCAATTGCAAAACAGTTGACGCTGCGTTACTTCATTCCGTATGCGAAGAAGACTGGATGGCTAGGCAGTTTGGCGTGCGACACTCTCGAGTTTTTGCCCCAGCACAAAATGCAAAACAATTCCAGAGACGTGAGACTTGGCAAATTTGGGGCATCCTAGCTTCGGATCCGAACCAATTTCCATGCCTACAAGGTTCGGACACGCACAAACGATTTCAATTTCCTTCACACCCCTCTCTTGCATCCCTTGCACCTCGTCAACCAATCGCAGCGAAGCTCCAACCATCAACTGCAAAACAGTTGTGGTACTTGAGATCCTGGCTTTAACAGGCGTTCAGATTAGCAGCAGCAGCAGCGAAGCCACGGCAACGCCAGGAATTATTGCTGCTGTGAGGCCGCCTTGAGAGCCTGGCTTTAACAGACATTCAGGTTAGCAGCAGCAGCAGCAGCGAAGCCACGGCAACGCCAGCAATGATTGCTGCTGTGAGGCCGCCAGATTGGGAGGTGGACTTTGCAGGCGAAGGGGGGGTTGCTGGGGAGGCCGTGGGGGGAGATGGAGACCCCGTGGTACTCCCAGGCGATTGGGGTGCTGCAGGCATGCAAGGGGAGGGGACATGGGAGGAGAAGTGACATGCGAGGGATATGAAGCGAACATGTGGTTGCAATCAAGGCGTAGAACGGACAGAAATCGTACCGTTGAGGAGAACAACTTGTTATCAGGCTGGCTGGCACATGATTATGTGTCAATTTCGATCGCATATTGAAGTGCTAACAGAGCAGCAGTACTGTTGATGCTTGCCACTGGCATGCTGGCCCATGCAGGGAGATGGGGGTTCGGGGGAGTGGAATGGAATCGCTCACTGAAACTGAATGGGCAGATTTACAAGAGAGAGGCGCATGTGTGACACAAAGCATGGAAGGGGGATGGGGGAGGAACTCGTTATGGCTTACGAGGTGCCGGCTTGCCGCAGGTGGCGCAGAAGGAGGCACACTGGAGGCAAAAGGCGCTCTGAGGCTGCTGCTGCGCCACGCATGGGGTGTAGTCGTCCGGGCAGGTCAGGCCAGTTCCACTCACATTCCTGTATGTGCAAAGGCGAGAGAAGATAACATGCAGGCAAGGAATTCATCGGTTTGGTCTTATAGCGGTTTGATTCCTCCCACCGGGCCACAGGCGACACATCATAGCACACAGTGGGTTGCAATTTTGTTATGCCTGTTGTTTGAGAAACACCAAACAGCTGGGTGCATTGCACTGGTGAGTCAAGAGCTGCCATTCACAAGAGAAGAGCGCTCACAAGGTAGAAAGCTGTGTGAGGCTGCCAATGGACGGTGGGATGCTGCCTGTCAGGGCGTTGTTGGCAAGATTTCTGATGACGGGACATCAAAGTGCATGATCACGGGAGGGTTATCAGAGACAATAAACACGATAGAATTTACAATGATATTCACGATGGGAATAAAGAATCACAAGGCGAGTGGTTGAGGCTGATTAGCAAATATAGCAATCACAGGGATAGAGGGAAGTGAGAGAAAAATTCATAGGAGTGGGCCAGAAGGCGGTGAGTATGATAAAAACTTCTTGCATGCGTGATCAAACTTATGTTCACAATTAGGGTTTGGGGGTTGAATAGCAGAAACGAGACGAAGCGTGAGAAATTGAGTTGTCCGTTTGTTGGACTAGGGGTTTCCATATCACGTCAGGGAAAGGTTCAAATGATAGTCATGATAGGTCACAGTGGGCTTCGGGATTTCAAGTGTACTTTGACTGAAGCATGGCTTGTGCGTCGTGTCACATTTCTCACTGACGCATGCATGCTTGGCAGGTTGGCTCCTGGCCCTCAATGGGTGTACTTTCGGGTCATCTCAAGCTTGATACTCTTCTTGAGTTGCTCTTCTCAAACGTGTCTGACTGAAGACATCACTAGCTAGCTGGTGATCATGAGCACATTGAATAAAATGATTCAAACCAACATACTCAAACAGAGTCTTATTGATGTGGAGGTGTGAGAAAGGGTATGCTACAAGTAGTTGTGATGCCTGTGTCTGATGATGTTCAACTACTGGTACAAGCCTGGAAGGATCTGATGGAAGAAACACACATAGCTCACGATTCTGGGTGCTTCAAACATGAGAAGAAGTTCATTCATGCTGGAAAGAGAATGGCCATATGTAGTGTAACCCAAACGGGCATGGGCTGTACCTCAAATGTAAACCCAAGAATGATCCCTACTCACAGTAAAACTAAGTTTGAGAGCATGGAGATGGAGTCAGGGATTGTTCCAGTCAGGCTGTTGTCGTTCAAGACTCTGATGAAAGAAGGGGCGAGCAAGCGGGGGAATTGATGTTAGAAACGGAAGAAAGATGCATGCTGGTTATAAGTTCTACATGCCCTAGCTTCATGCCTTGCACTTCCTGGTGTTTGCCGTTCATAACCTTGCATTCTTTACAAAAACATCCTTTGTACAGCATACAGATGCAGATGACAAAACAATAAGATTGATTGGGATGAGATGCTTTGCAAGGAGATAACAATTGAAAATGACAAGTGTATGTATGTAGCGCAACGGCAAAAAAAAAAAAAAAAAAATCAAATTAAATCAAATCAACCCAAACAACATCCTCCCACACCCTCGAAATCATGTATGTATGGCCGGCCGCCACTCACAAATATTGAGTGAACTACTTGCGAGCCAAGTACTCAACATCAGACCAATGCTGAGAACCACGTGTCAACCGACTGGCACAAGGTTTGAACCGGTAATGATCGAGGTTCTCATCTTACAATACTGTCAGGCTGCTCAAACTTGCAATCATGGATGGAATGGAGCCGGTAAAGCCATTATTGCGAAGGCCCCTGGCAATGGATGGGACAGTTGTTTGGAGGAGTAGTGTGCATTAATAAGCGAGGGGGTTCAATCAGACAAAAGACCTCCTTCATGCGTTAGTGAACAAATAAGAGGACATACACAGATAAACAAATGGTATGGGCGTTGAATTCTGGTGAAAACACAGTTTTATATGTGAGTGTGATACATGAGCCAGGTACAATAATTCAAGTTCAATGATTAAACTCCCAAAACATGAGGCTCGAAAACCCAGGCGGATTTCTGCTCCACAGTCGAACAAAAGCGGCTCAATATGTTTCCAAGGTGAATCACTAACGACTTTACTTAGTAGGAAACAAATCAGAAAATTCGGTTCGTGGCGAACTGGTTTGTGTTGAACTGGCGGGGTTCTTTTTATTTGTTCATGCCTAATACGAAACTCAAAACATGAAACAATGTTGTGCTTGCTGCTAACTTCCACGAATATTGACGACGAGTTAAATTCGACTCAGTAGTAGTTTCACTTGATTAGGGCGAACTTTGAGTGCTGATTTTTCCGTATAGAGTAAAGAAAAACCCCGTCGATTAGAATATCTTCCTGACCAACCGACTGCAGACTGACAGTTCTTGTCTGTGTCTTTTTCCTTGCACGCAGGCATACAAATGCTGAAAGCTTCTGGCAACACCTGGAAAATTCAGCAGCATGAGGATTCCAACATGAGATAACGTTTCGCTGTGCCCCAGACGTTCACCCAACGACGAGTAGTACTCACAGTTGAATCAAGTTTGTAAGCTTGGAGATGGAATCTGGAATTGATCCACTCAGACTATTGTTGCTAACGGATCTGATGGGAGGAAGGCAGGGATGCAAAGGGCAAGCATACGGAGAGGAACACATTGCACTCATAGATCAAAATCAGACATGAAGTGGCTGTTAGTTGGATTGGTCTTGCTTTTAGATGTGACTTCATGGCTTGCATTCTTATTGCTTTCCACTCTTGTGGCGTTCAAATTCCATGTTGGAAAGAAATAAACTTATTGAGAGAAATTTTTAAACAGCTGCTGTCGAAAACAATGAGTCTACGCTTATTGTAGAAATATGTGCTGCCTCACAAAAGCATTAGCAAGTTTGATTAGATGTTTGTGAGTGCGTGCGTGCATGCGTGTGTGCGTGCGTGCGTGCGTGCGTGCGTGTGTGTGTGTGTGTGTGTGTGCGCGCGCGCGTGTGTGCGTGCGTGAACGTACGTGTGTGTGTGTGTGCGTGCGTGCGCGCGCGCGCGCGTGTGTGTGTGTGTGTGTGTCTGTGTGTCTGTGTGTCTGTGTGTCTGTGCAAGTGAGCAACCCATTGATGACCCGATTCTCACTCTGGAAAGCATGTCCTATACAACAACCACTACAGGCAATCACTGAGTTGAATCCCCGTAGACAATGGAGTGTTTCTCGATATCTTAGCAATGCTAACGAGTACCATATATTACCCATTGCTGAGCACCTTTTGAAAATTGGTGGAGAACAAAGTTAACAGTCGAGATAACGCTTGAGGTACTCACAATGCGGTCAGGCCACTCAAAACTCCAATCATGGATGGAATGGATCCCGTCAAGCGATTGCTTGGAAGACTCCTGACAATTGGAAGGTTTGAGTAGAGTGTTTTGACAAAAAAGCAAGGCAAACAGCAAACGTCCATGTGTTGATGAGTGAACAAGAGTGTGGTCACTCAAGATCAAGGATGAAAATTACGGTTTCCGTAAATTACGATCCGTATTTTACGATCGTATTTTACGGTCAGATTTCAAAAATTCGGCCGTATTTTTGTTAGAAATTTTTTTATGCTAGAAAAATTTTCAGGCTTGCTACCAACCACCTCTAGGGATGTGAGCAATCGCTAAGTATCAGGTGTAAAATGGTCTACAAAGTATCTATGCTTAAAAAACCGCTCCCCTATGAGCCTCGAGACATTAGGCTTGCGTCCCCCTTGTGCGGCTAGCGTATCATTTGAAAAGCGAGTAAAAACGTCCTGGCGAGGGAAAAAATTCTCGCGATTATTTTTACTCGTTGCATTCTTGACCCCTGCGCGACGTGGCAGCGGGGGTTCATAATCGCAGAGGGTAACTGGCCACTTCACGCTTCTACATGACGAAATGCCAGTAAGCTCAAACACGGAAGATTTGCATCCCAAAATTTTCCAGCTCATGCACCCCCCCCAACCGCTCTAAATCCCACTCCCTCTACCCAACCCAACCCAACCTTACAAACATTTGCAGCACCCCGAGACTGGGTGAGATCTAGATCTCGTACATATTATGCAGAGACACATTTCCCCATCGTAAAATAGCCTGGAACATCGCGATTTCCTACTAATACGGTCCTGGTTAATCCCCCCCTTCCCCACTTAAGGAGAGAGTCTTCGCTAAAGGGGGACCCCTGCAATTTCCTTTTACACTTTCGCTGTCTCAAAATTTCGACCGTAAATTACGACCGTATTTTTGAACCAACCCTGAAACAGCACGATTTATCGTATTTTACCGTAAAATACGACCGTAAAATACGATTCCGTATTTTACGGAAATTTTTCAAAACTACGACCGTAATTTTGAACCTTGCTCAAGATTGATGGTGATGGCTGGATCAGGGTGGTGAAGCATGTGAATTGCCCTTTTATCTCTATCAGATCGCATGTGCTGTGCTTCAAACGGACAGCACAATGACCGCAAAATTGCAACCTGAGAATAACCATGGGAGCAGGTGCATCTGGGTAGAATGTACATTGATGCATCAGAGTGTGCAGCGGAGAAGCCCAATCAAGTGCCTATACAGATACATAGAAGAACGCACAAGACTGATCTATAACATCTCAACCCAGAAACCAAGAAGCACGTACAAGGCAGAAAGATTCTTCAGAGTGGAAAGCGAGTCAGGAATGGAGCCCGTCAAGGCGTTGAAGCCCAAGCCCCTGAGGGGAAGCGCATGGAGAGCACGCGTGTATGTGGCCCACGAGTAGACATGTGCCACAGTTCAGGCTGAACTGTTCAGCTCGGTGTGGGTCAAACTGGCTGACCCGATCCGAGCTCAATGCCGGAGCGGGTCGAGCTCCTAGTTCCTTCACAGCGTATGCCTACCTTCCAACAGAGTCTACTATTTTACCACATGGTATGCCTCTCATCCATTCTATCACATCCCCGACCATACCATTCTACTAGGTTGATTTTCCGTGACCCCCACATTGACTTCCAACAGATTCTCGACGGTAGTAGAGGGGATGAAAACCGAAACGCTTTTGACCACATGGAAGGCCTTGCTTAACTCAGGCCGCTCATGGGTCGACCAGCTAAACCCGAACCTCAAACCGGCTGGCACCGTGAACGCTTCGACCTCGATTTACGGATGGCTCGTTCTAACCGACCTGGTTCGGGTTTGACTTGTGCTCGTCAAGGCTACTTACAAGTGAGTAAGGCCCGCGAGCTTCCCGACGGATTGCGGAATCGGGCCTGTGATGCTGTTGTGGGAAAGGTCCCTAGTGAGAGGAAAATGGGGGGAAAGCGAGAGCGGGAGGTGACGGGAGCATGGGAGGTGGGGAAAATGGGAGGTGAGGGGAGGTGAGGTGTGGGACGAGAGGTGAGGCGAGAACTGGAAGTGAGGAATTGCAGGCACGTCCATTTTCTGGTCGCCAGTCTCCAGCATGCATATGGAGGCAGCCATATGCAGAAGGAGCGCAGCTGGACACTTTTCCGGTCTCCAGCTGCGCTCCTTCTGAGCCAGCTTGACCTGATTCGAAGAGGGGAGGGTTTATCCAAATGAAGAGCTGGCGAGGATGAAGAGGACACAACCGGAGAGCACATTCCAAGAGCGCTGCAAATGGCGAAACCTGCAGGTCTCAAGGCATTGAGGGCTGTAATGTAAGACAAAGCCCAAGGAAGAATGGCACTCACAAGTCGGAAAGATTTGCGAGGTTGCTAATGGACTCGGGAATGGTGCCAGTCAGGTTGGCGACCGACAAGTATCTGATACGATAGCAGTGAAGCAAGGGAAGGCATGCATGCATGCATGGATGTGTCAAGATTGGATTAGGCAATAGCAGTTGGGCAAACCAGCAGCTCGGCTTGCCTCACACCACCCAATAGAGTTGGCTCGACGAGTCGCAAGAGCCAGGGCATTTTGCAGGAGTTGGAGATTCAACTTCCTTCATAGCACTCACCCCCCAACGCTCTCGACGATTCCACTACGTTGTCTGTGAAACCAGATTGCCCCAGATTGCACCAACAATTTCTACACCCCAAATCGAACCGAACTGGTTCGACTCAAACCACTTTCGGTTTAAGCAGATAAATCAGAACCTCGAACTGGCTGGTGGCACAAAAGGTTTAAAATGAAATGAACCTGGATTGGTTTGGTCCGATCCACCTGTTGCTTGGTTCAGCCCGAACCGGTACGGTTCGACTTTCACTCACGCCTACGTACAATTGACTAAGGCTTGTGAGCGCCCCAATGGAGTCAGGAATTGGGCCAGTGAAGCTGTTGTAAGTAAGGCTCCTGGTGAGAGGCAAATGGGCGATGGGAGAAACGAGCATGCAAACAGATGCAGAAATATTTACCTTGGTGGTGCGTGAATCTGCACTAGTAGAATAGCCTTCAGATGCATTCCTACTGAAACAGAGGTTGGGATGGCAGATGCCATCCACCACTCAGAATCTGAGGGCTGCACAGAGCCCCACACACCCCAATAAAGCCCCCTTGTCCCATCGTGGCTCTGAACTTGTCGCGCTTAGAAATCTTTTCATTAGGCGCCATGTCTAGCAAGGTACGCGCGGTGCTAACAAATATATACCACCAGAGGCGAGGTTGATTGGAAAAAGGCTGAACATCTACGGTCTGGTTGATCGCATCCCGTGACTGGACTAGGAGGTGGAAAGCAACGGATGGAGGTTTTTGCGTTCATGAAAATTGATAACTGAGAATGCTTGAGAGTTATGGGTGATGCAATAAGAAATAGTGATGACATGCAAGTCTGGTCCATTCAACAGACGCACAACACTGTTAAAACCCGGAGGTTGCTTAATGTCGTTGGTATCGGACCAGTCAGGTTGTTTCTCCATATTTCCCTGCACAGAGTAGAAAACAGGCAACGGGGGACAACGCTGTTCTATGTTCTCAAGGACGTATCAGTCAGTGTACACCATCACCTAGGGATGAGCAAGGGGCGAACACGAACGTGTTCGCGTTCGCCCATGCACGAACACCCCTGTTCGGCGAACCGGACACTGTTCGGTTCGGCGAACACCTTTAGCAAAAACAGGTGTTCGCCGTTCGCCTATGAAGGCGTGTTCGGGCGAACCTCGAACACGTTCGTGTACGTTGCGGGGCAAATTGCAGCAGCGGCCCGAACACGAACCTCGAACACTGTTCGGCGAACACTTTAAGCCAAAAAAAAAAACATGTTCGGTTCGCCACGAACACGTTCGAGGCAAACCGAACAGGTGTTCGTTTTTTTGCTCATCCCTACCACCACCAGTATATCCACTGTCTGATGCACGGCGAGGAGGGAGTGCCAGGCTTTGATCAGACAGTGGCGATATCAGATCGGCGGCCGATATTGCCGATCTGCGCAGATCGGCGGACAAAAGGGGGTACAATCACCCGACCCTGCTCCGGATCAACCCGACCCAGGCCCGGGTCGTGAATGAACCCCTGCCCTGCCTCCATAAGGCCGGGTCAGGTCTGCAATCTGGAATGATGGACCCAAGGGGACACGACCAGCGGGTGCAGATTGGCAGACAAAAGCGGGTACAGACACCCGATCCTTCTCTGGGTCGGCCCCGACCCGGGCCCGGGTCCTGACAGCCCCCCTCCGCAAGGCTGGGTCAGATCTGCAACCTGAAATGATGGACCCCAGGGGACACGACCTGGTCCGACCAGAAACGTGCCTGACCCGGTCAAACTGGCTCGGGTCGACCGGGTCGGGCCTATTTCTCATGCCTAGGGCCAGAATTCCAGGTCGGGACGGGTCGACCACACCTGACACAATCCGACCTGACCCAACCTGACCCGACCCGACCCGTTTCCCATGCCTAAGCTGGATGTAGCTCAGACATCACCCAACAATGATTAGCACTACTCACAGTTGAACCAAGTTTGAGAGGCTGGAGATGGAGTCAGGGATTGTTCCAGTGAGGCTGTTGTTGCCAAGGGCTCTGATGGGAGAAGGGCATGCAAGCGAGGGGAGAAGGGCATGCAGGGCAGGCGAAGGGAGAAGGGCATGCATGCAGGCGAGGGGAGAAGGGCATGCAGGCGAGGGGTGAGCGTACACAGGGGAACGGATTGCATGCATAAAGATTGTTGCATTTATGATCAGAAACGGAAATGCTCTCTGGCTGGATTGTTTATGTACCTTAATTTGAGAAATATATACAACTTTGTAGTGCAGACGAGCACCATGTACCACCCAACTGCCCGAAACTTCTGAGAAGAGTGAAGAAGCGGGTAGCACTTGGGGTACGTGTCTTGCCCTAACCTTACTCACAATGATGTTAGGCTGCTCAAGCTTCCAACAATGGGCGGCTTTTGAGACGTCTCAGAAGTCGATTACTCACTATTGTCAGTCGACTCAAAAGTCACCTGGTCTCGAGAGTCGCTTACTCACACCTGGTACTCACAGCGATGTGAGGGTGCTCATAACTCCCACAGTGGAAGGAATGGATCCCGTCAGGCGATTGCCTTGAAGACTCCTGGTGAAGGGAAGATGTGTGCAGCACGTGTTGACAAACAGGCAGGGCAAGAAGCGATCGTCCATGTGGTGATGAGTGAACGAGAGAGCAGTCACTCTTTAGTCATTGTGATAGGTGGAGCAGGGTGGTGAAACCTGGTGAAGACATATATTGATACGTGAGGCGAAGAAAAAGGGCATAATCATTCAAATCTTGAGATAAGAGCCTCACTCACAAGGTGAGCAGATTTTGAAGGTTGCTGAGTGTTTCTTGTATTGAGCCAGTCAGCCCGTTGTCATTAAGATACCTACGCCTCGTATCATGGGAATGTAGATGAATGAACTGGGATCAAAATATCCAAATGCAGGTTGCTGGTTTCCAAGTAAAGCTTCCTGCGGTAACAACTAGCTGGCTAAACAAAGTGTACGCCAGCTTGACTGATTGCAACAATTAACCGGACCAAAGGATTGAGCCTCGGCTTAAACCCTTTGCTCGAGTCTAAGTTGGTTCGAGTCAAGCCGGCTACAACATGCATGCAATGTGCAATGGCGCAATAGGAAGATGGAGATGGGTGCTACACACGCATTTTAGCATTGGACATTAGATAAGGAACACCCAAAACAATCGTCCTAACAAAGCCTCCAGTCTTAGCTTTCTTGCTCATCCACATTCTTGTGGCATATATTTCTTTGAATGGGCACAAGGAGCGAAAAGTTGCAACATGAGAACAAGCATGCAGGGCGTGCTGTGTGCAGTGTGGCTGACACGTCAACCCAAGGAGTAATGGCACTCACAAGTCACGAAGGGCTGAGTTTTTGGTGAGGAAGTCAGGAATGGGGCCTGTCAAGTTGTTGTAGTTCAGGTATCTGATAAGGCACAAATGAATGGAGGAGATGCATATGGTGGGTGAGGAGGCACCAGCAGGTACAGCATTTGCACAAGCCAGAGAACATAATCCTGAAAGTCTGCAAATTCCATAAAGGCTGTCAGCTGAGCTTATCGAGGTTGGTATGGCTTCATGTAGAAACAGACGCAGCAAGGTGATGCATGGTGGAGAGGCCCCGTTAAGAGCGGCCTTGATATATAGGACAACAGAATATACCAATATTTTGTAAAACTCGTGTTGCATAACAAAGGCATTGTCAACAGAACCATAAATTATCCAAGTACGACGACCACAATTGCAACAGGAGACAGAAGAAAGAAACAAAAACTGCATTTGGACAGACAACTGGCCCGAATAGACAAGAAGAGAACCAATCACTTCAAATTGACCAGAAGCATTACCCTGGAAAAAAAAAGATATGTAAGAGAATGTGATGTGAGCACCAGGTAAGTGTGTGATTCGACCCTCATAGTCAACGGCAAGCAGCTCACTCACTCACATGCTTTCACATGCAAGTAGGTTGGCCAGTGGCGGAATCGGTCCAGTCAGCTTGTTTAGTGTGAGACCTCTGCAATTTGCAGGATAAAAAGTTAATTTGAGCAAGTGGGAGGAAGGGAGACTGAGTGAAGCCATTGCTTATGCTAATTGGTTCACAAGTGCTCCAAAAGGTGATTGATTGGTTCAAAATCAGAGCCATGTATGCTGCATTGGAACAGACATTGCAGCATCGGACCCATGCAAGCTGTGCCAAGCCAGCAGGGTCCAGCCAGGACAACGGATTGCCAGGGTCAAGCCTGAATAAGCCCAGCTGGCTTGGCCGCGAATTATCCAAACCCAGAGAGGCAGCTTGGCTTGGCAGCAGATGAGGCTAGCTGCTGGCTGATGCCACGCCACCTGCTGATTGCACTTGCCAGTTCATTCCACAGTATGCCGAACATGTGCAACAAATTGCTCATGACCGAACATGTGCAACAAATTGCTCATGACCGAACATGTGCAACAAATTGCTCATGACTGAACATGTGCAACAAATTGCTCATGACCGAACATGTGCAACAAATTGCTCATGACCGAACATGTGCAACAAATTGCTCATGACCGAACATGTGCAACAAATTGCTCATGACCGAACATGTGCAACAAATTGCTCATGACCGAACATGTGCAACAATTTGCTCATGACCGAACATGTGCAACAAATTGCTCATGACCGAACATGCATGCGTGAAGGAGCTGCTTGTGGGAACGAGGGGTTGGAAGAGCAAAGGAGATTGATCCATCGCAGCTGATCATCGCTCACTTGTGAACCTAGGAACCAAAATGCACGTACAAGTAAGTTAGCTTTGTGAGTGTGGAAATGGAGTCAGGAATCGAACCCATGATGTTGTTTTCCGACAAAGCCCTGATGGAGGCAAATGGAGGATGTGCGTGCATGTGGCACGAAATGAGAAGTGGGGGGAGAGAGAGGTGTAACCAAGTGCCCAATAGATTTAACCGTTACTTTCTACTAAATTGCCCATTATCCCCACTCATGGTACTTCACGATAGACGCTTTCTACAATGAAACCGACCGGAACAACGAACGCTTCGAAACCAACTTGGTCCAGTGTGGTTTGGCTTACTGACGGTTCGCGTTCGTTCGACCTGACCTGGTTCGTGTTTGACTTGTGCTCCTCACGCCTACTTGCAAGCGAGTAAGGCCCGTGAGCTTCTCGACCGATCGCGGAATTGTGGCCCTGATGCTGTTCTGAGCAACCGGTTACCACCGTTTTTATACACAAGCGTTTCTTTCAAAGAGCGACTAACATTCACATGTGTTACTTTCCTAAGTTGCTATCACGTATCAATCTCATGGCACCAACCAAACTGGTGTACACTCGGGCTACATACAAGCGAGAAAGGCCCGTGAGCTTCGAGACAGATTGTGGGATGGGGCCAGTGATGCTGTTCTGGGCAAAGTCCCTAGTGAAAGGAAAATGGGAGGTGAGGGGAGAATGGGAGGTGAGGAGAGAATGGGAGGTGAGGGGAGAATGGGAGGTGAGGGGAGATTGGGAGGTGAGGGGAGAATGGGAGGTGAGGGGAGAATGGGAGGTGAGAGGAGATTGGGAGGTGAGGGGAGAATGGGAGGTGAGGGGAGATTGGGAGGTGAGGGGAGAATGGGAGGTGAGGGGAGCTTGGGAGGTGAGAGGAGATTGGGAGGTGAGGGGAGAATGGGAGGTGAGGGGAGAATGGGAGGTGAGGGGAGAATGGGAGGTGATGGGAGAATGGGAGGTGAGGGGAGAATGGGAGGTGAGGGGAGAATGGGAGGCGAGGGAGAATGGGAGGTGAGGGGAGATTGGGAGGTGAGGGGAGAATGGGAGGTGAGGGGAGATTGGGAGGTGAGGGGAGAATGGGAGGTGAGGGGAGCTTGGGAGGTGAGAGGAGATTGGGAGGTGAGGGGAGAATGGGAGGTGAGGGGAGAATGGGAGGTGATGGGAGAATGGGAGGTGAGGGGAGAATGGGAGGTGAGGGGAGAATGGGAGGTGAGGGGAGATTGGGAGGTGAGGGGAGAATGGGAGGTGAGGGGAGATTGGGAGGTGAGGGGAGAATGGGAGATGAGGGGAGCTTGGGAGGTGAGAGGAGATTGGGAGGTGAGGGGAGAATGGGAGGTGAGGGGAGAATGGGAGGTGAGGGGAGAATGGGAGGTGAGGGGAGAATGGGAGGTGAGGGGAGAATGGGAGGTGAGGGGAGAATGGGAGGTGAGGGGAGATTGGGAGGTGAGGGGAGAATGGGAGGTGAAGGGAGAATGGGAGGTGAGGGGAGAATGGGAGGTGAGGGGAGAATGGGAGGTGAAGGGAGAATGGGAGGTGAGGGGAGAATGGGAGGTGAGGGGAGCTTGGGAGGTGAGAGGAGATTGGGAGGTGAGGGGAGAATGGGAGGTGAGGGGGAATGAGAGGTGAGGGAGAATGGGAGGTGATGGGAGAATGGGAGGTGAGGGGAGAATGGGAGGTGAGGGAGAATGGGAGGTGAGGGCGAATGGGAGGTGAGGGGAGAATGGGAGGTGAAGGGAGAATGGGAGGTGAGGGAGAATGGGAGGTGAGGGAGAATGGGAGGTGAGGGAGAATGGGAGGTGAGGGGAGAATGGG